ATGCCTGTGATGTCAACACGCAAATACGACCGAATTTGCACGTGTCCTTCGGCGAGCAGACTGACAAATCCAAAGAATTGGACCACAGGTTCTCAGCCAGAACCAGTTCTCAACAAAGACCAGTTCTCAATCCCTATGTAAATGAAAATACTGAATTATAAAAATAGAAGCATCAATGACTCAAGGTTTCGTTAGCATTTTTCTCAGCGTGAGAAGATTCTCACGCTGCTCAGGAAACTAATACTGAAACTGAAATTAACAACTGTCCTACAATTTCCTTAAATATTGGTATAACATGTCAGGCTCACCTCACATCTGAGATATATATATATATATATATATATATATATATATATATATATTGTTCTTAATCTCATTCTTAATCTCACACTTATAATATTGTGATAAAACTTTGTATCAGATCACAGTGTGTGTGACGACACTGTGGATCATGACTTCCGTCAAACTCTAATCTGATTGAGTGACTTGAGAAAGGAAGTCAGAGAAGAAAAGAAGGAAAAGAAAAGGAGGAGGGGGTGGAAGGAGTGTCAACGTTTCTGTTGACGTCGACAGCAGTGAAGCAACAAAGAACACAAACACCAGAAAAAGACAAAAATAAAATAAAATAAACTGGGATTTGAGTCAGTGGACAAACAGCTGTGATGTCAACATGACATCATTGAACACAGCACTAACAGCTGGACAGAGTTTTGGAACGCTGTTCTCAAGGAGAATGTTACCTGCTCACATTTCCTGACCCTGAAGACTGTGACGGTGGTTTGTGGTGGCTTCACTGAAGACTAATCTCCAACCTTAGAAACCAAACGTTGGATTACCCTGTGTTTCTGACCTTGGCAGAACTTGAGTTTGGGGAGAGTCCTTCTAATGACCCACCATGAGTGTGCTCCGGTACACAAGGCAGGGTCCAAAAAGACATGGTTGGCTGGCTTTGGTCTGTAATAAGTGACTGGCCCACACAGAGGTCTGACCTTCAGACATCAAGGTCAAACACCTTTAGGACATCGTGGATTAGAGACTTGTTCTCTGAAAGTACAAAGTTTTAAAAAACTATCGCTCACCGCTTTATCTGGTTAGTTCAATGTACCATCTAGGAATCTTCTCTTCTACTCCTCCTTGTTCTCCAACGTTCCCACCTTCTCTTCTCAGCCTTAGCTGTCCATCTGATCTACGACCCCATCATCACTGTCACTCAGTGCTGCCCCATGATGGACAACATCATAGTCAGGATTGTTTTGGTCAGTATTGAAATCACAAATATTTAACGCAATTAGTCCCTGACTCCGGAAACACCTGTGCGTAATCTGACAGACGGGTGAGGAAAATGGGGGTTGGTTAGCGTAGCTCAGCTACTGGCTTGTTTTTAAAATTGTTACCATTTCTATTCAGAGATGTTAAAATCCCATGGGGAAAATGAGAAAATACAAACAGGGGGCAGTGTAACTGACCTTAAACAGATCACCCTTCATTTGCTGTGGTCCGTTCTAGGTGACTGTGTAAAAAAAAAAAAGTTTCTGACTTGGTTTTGGTTTCATTTCTTTTAGTAACTGCACTCACACACAGAATGTAAACGTGAAGTGTACGTCTTTTCCTTCCTTTTTTTAAACTCTGTCTCACTCTCACTCTTACACGCAGCTCTGTTTTGGACCCAGTAAAAATTCCTTTCTCCTCATCTCATTTCCTGTCGCAGTCCTCTCCAACGTTAACCACTCTTTTTGGCCCGCGGCCCGTTTGTCTCACTCTCTCTGGTTGCGTCTCACACACACACACACACACACACACACACACACATACATCCACTTCTTCTCACAGCCACTGGAAGTATTCTGGCAGAGTATTCTCAAACGTGTTATCGTTGAACATTACCAGTCTGGGCTGTAGCTCTCACTGTGTGACAGTGTGACTGAAACAGCAGAGGAGGAACAGGAACAGAGGAACACCTTCTCTGCTTCCACTCTTCCATGTCTCCTTGTGTTTTAGGAATTAGACTGAGGAGCAGACAGTGTTGTTGATGATTGGATTTATTTACTGATTTTCTGTTGATGTTCACACTCACAGTTATGGACGCAGATCTGTCCTCAGTTTTTTCTCTCCGGCTCTTCTCGTTGGCTCCTCAGTCTTTGGTCTTAATTACATGCACATGCTGCGAGTCAAAATGACTTAACGCTGTGTTTTATAGCAGGAATATTAGGGCTAAATATTCCACATGGCCAGTGAAGTTTGACGACGAGAGATTTATCTATCTATCTAGTTAGCTGGCTACCTAGCTACCTAGCTAGCTTGCTACATATCTCGATAGATAGACAGATATCTAGCCATCCATCTATTTGTTTCCATCAGAGATTTCCTTCTCTGTACATTTCTAGAGGATGACCTTTGACACCAGGCCTGAAATCTTTTTTTTTTGTTCTTTCAGTTTTGGAGATGAAGACATTTTTTGTAAAAATATTTTGACTCTTTGTTTTATTTTAATTTTCATGTTTGCTTAGGTATAATTATGTTTTTTTTTAAGGTGTTGTTTATTCTGGTTAAATGTGTCATAGCACAGCTCACTGCTGGATCTAATGATCTAATGATAAACCTTTTAGAACCTTTTCACACATTTGCTCCGAAACACCCAACAAGTTTGTCAGTTATTCACATTGAAACCTAAGACAATTTTCCAAATCGTCCTTTTTTCTGAAACAGGAAGCTGCGTGGCGTCACCTCTGTGCTAACGTCTGCTGCCGGAGCGTTACACAAGGTCTTAGTTTTCATCTGTCAGTCCAAGAAACAGAACAGGAAAATATCAGCAAATATCATGTGTCTGAGATCAGTGAAGGGAACTGTTTCCCCAACAGTTATCAGGTACCTGTTACCGATGACATGTTTGAATCTGACCTGACGGGTTGTTTTCACTGCAAACATTCTGATGATTTGGATTTTCCTTCAGTGACTCGGACACGAAGGCAGTGTTTTTAAGGTTCGGGTTCTGAGATGCAGAGTTTGAAAATACGAGACTTTGTGGCAGAGGAAGACTTTTAGAGTGTGCTGCATTGGAATCAGCTGATTGGGGGAGGGGTGGGGGCAATGTGAAAAATCTGAGAAAGTGCAAAGAGAGGGAAGAAAAAGGAGAGGAGGTGGAGTCGGAGTAGAGGGACGAAGAGCAGTGAAAACAACAGAAGGATTTCCCCTGTGGCGTGTCAGAGTACTTATTGAAGTGTAACAGTACTACAACAGTACTGCATTGGGGTGTAAGAAAATATCGATACACTGAAATATTTTGGAATTTTCATTTCACGATACGGTATCGATATTCTACAGCACTATACGATTTTTTTATCATTAACAATTAAATGGCGTTGGTTCATTTTCTGTTGCATTTAAACGTATTAGTATTTGAAACTTTGAGTCAGACAATTCTTTTTTCATTTGTTTATCCAAAAAAACTGCATTTATTCCAAATGTCGATCCCTCCGTTCCAGTGTTAGTAACCTGAGGGGACAGCATTGTGTCTTTACTATGATTTGAATATATGATATGAAAAAAATCAATATATCGTTGTACCTGCAGTATTGCAGTATATCGCGATATATTGTACCATTGCTCCTGTATCGTGATACGTATCGCATCGCCAGGTTTTTGCCAAAACACAGACCTTATACTGCAACAGAAGCAGGTTTAAGGTTTTTGGTACTTGGTCAAAAATTTAATTATATTTCAAAAAGATTTTTTTTTTAAATAATGTTTCCTGGGTTTTACATGAATTGAAACCAAATAATTCAATTCATGAAAAGACTTTCATGTTTCTTGTCAACCGTGGTTCGGCTCAGTCTAAGACCTGACTCAGCTCCTCATCCTGTTGGTGTGATTGTTTTATTTTTTTAATAACAGTTGTATCTGATGAGGTCTAACAGGTTACACAGAGAGTTGGCACCAGGACGTGTTTATACACTATAATTTGAGTCAATCAACAGACACACACACACACACACAAGGAATGTGATGAAAAACTCGTGAATGAAATGAAAAACAGGAAGTTTTGTTTGACAGTATATTTAGGGAAACATTACACAGAAGAAAACACAGACGTCAGAACAGAACTTTGACTTGTGGATAAGGACGTGGGTTCCTTCAGGGTTCTAGACCGTTGGTTTTGGAGGTTTGAGGTGGAACCACATCTGAACACACTCCAATATATCATAAAAAATTATATATTTTTATATATTTAAATATATGTATATATATATATACATATATTTAAATATATAAAAATATATAATTTTTTATGATATATTGGAGTGTGTTCAGATGTGGTTCCACCTCAAACCTCCATATCTAAGTATTTATATGTATACATACATACATATATATTTAAAAAATATATTTTAATATACTGCTCCTGCAGGACTACAGTAGAGCGCCACCTGTGTTGTTTTGTTGTGCGTGCACGTGTTGTCGTCTGTGTGGGCGGTCACAGCACATTCCTGTCAAAGGCAGTTCTGTCGATCACACGTTTGATCAACAGAGCTTTGGCAGGATGTTCAGGAAATGTCCCACACACACTGTCCTCCGTTCACAGATGTGACGAGACACACACAGTGTTGATAGATGAACCATTGACTGTTAAGGTTATATATTTAATAATGTCAACTTTGAATCAATACTTTTTGTTGCAGAGCAGTAAATTGTCCGGTGGTAGAAAAATGATTGAGAAAAGTGTTGATCTGTTAGAGTGCAGAGTGGAGAGGTTACAGGTACGAGTCTTGAAATAACTTAATCACTGTTTCCTTCAATACTGCCCTCTATTGAAACAATGTTGTGTAATATTGTCATTCAGTGTGCAATGAGGGAGATGTTTGAGAAACCTGGTTGTGTCAGTAACGGTTGTACAGTGACAATTCAGGCCGTACAAATGTCTGGATTATTAACCTCTGTGTCGCGTTTCTTCACAGCAGTGACGTCTGTATTCACACCTCACTCACTCTCTTCTCCACCTACAGGAGAAGCCAAGAACATCCCTCCTTACCCGGGGCCGAACAGGATGAGGGACTGTTACTGCACCGTCAACCTGGACCAAGAGGAGGTCTTCAGGACCAAGATTATCGAGAAATCTCTCTGGTATGCTGGCAGACGCAAGATTTTTTTTTTGAGGTTGTCTCGCGTCATGTTTCCCAGAAGTTTACGAATAATGTCTGTTGACTTGGGTCGCAAAGGTTTGTGACTTTTAAAATATAGGTCCCCAGAAAAAAACTTTTTTTGGGCTGGAAAATGCATATTTTATCATGAAAATAATGGAATTTTGTGATGGAACGGATATCTGCAATAAAAAAAATACATTTAAAATATTAAAAACCAGCAATGTACTGAGGACACGACAGCCGAACCACGATACAATTAGGGACTATATATATATATATATATATATTCAAAAACACAAAAATATTGAACCTTTATGGTTGATATTGTTCATTTTCATAAGGGTGACAGTATACCAGCTATATAGTTCATAATAGAAATTTGTAAACTAGATCACGTCCACCAGACTTTATTTTTAAGACAGTATAAATACTATATTCAGAATTTCGTGCGTTTTCCTGC